CCAAGAGAAACTTTGGCAAGTAAGTAAATAATAAAGATTTGATTAATAAAGCATAAAATTATAAAAATTCATAAATACATGATTGTTAATTCTAATATGATTATTTGTTATTAAGGCTTTGCTTGATGGTACAATTGATAGTGTTGTGTCTGATCATTCTCCATGCACAGCAGATCTTAAGGGTTTGGATAAAAAAGATGATGAAAGAGATATTATTAAAGCTTGGGGTGGCATCTCTACTTTGCAACTTGGATTACCAGTATTATGGACTGAAGCGAGAAAACGTAGATGCAGGTTTGATTTCATTATGTTTATTAACTATTATATATCCTATTTCTTTGTGTAATATTCTTTTATTATTATCTAGTTTTCACAATTTATATACATGGTTATCAAAAAATACTGCTAAACAAGTTGGCTTACAAGGAAAAAAAGGTGACATTAAAGTAGGATATGATGCTGATATTGTAATTTGGAATCCTGAGGAAACTTTTGTGGTTAGTCTATTTTTTACAATTCTTTTTTATTGTAATATTATTTCATACTTTAATATATATATATATATTTTCTAATAATAAGGTTACCAAAGATATTATTCAATTTAAAAATAAGGTTACACCATATATGGGAAGAACTTTTTATGGTGTAGTTAAACAAACAATTGTAAGAGGGAATATAGTATATAATGCTGAAAAAGATGGTGTTATCAGTATTCCACATGGTAGTTTCTTGGTTTAAATTTTAATAGATAATTATATTTGACAAATTCCTTCTATGTAATACTAGTCCTAATACTGTATTATATATAACACATATCTATTCAAATTAAATAAAATTTTCCATTATAGTTTAAGCCTGTTTGATAGCTAACATTGATTTTACACTACTAGCCTACATTTTATTTTACATGCCATATTTTATTAACATGATTCACAATTATATATTTAACAGAATTATAAAAAAAAACAATATAAATAACAATTTAATATCAAATCAACTCCACATAGTTAGCTGTAGGTATAAAAGGGAATAAATACTAGGTAAAAAAACAAAAAACTTGAAAATTTGCTTTATGAATTAATTACCTGGGAAAAGTCCGACTGCACCATCTGATGTTGAACCCTGCCACCAATCTTCCGATACGAAATCAATTTCAGTAATAATATCATCTTCCCTAAATGAAATTTCATTATCTTCACCGGCATCATAATCATAAAGGGCTTTAGCCGATTGTCCAGCAGTTTTCGTAGGCTCAGGTTCAAGTTCAGGCTCAGGCTCAGGCTCAGGTTCAGGCTCAGGCTCAGGCTCGTCTTCTTTTTCATACTTGATATAAGAAAATAAATTTAGAGATCATAATGTTTGATAACATTTAAATCAATTAAAATTAACTACTATTATTACCGTTTCAATTTCACTCTCAATAAGCTCCACGTAATTTGCTTTATTGCATAATCAATTTAGTACAGTAACAAAAAGACTTTTCTAAAAAATAAATATAACTTACCAGGGAATAATCCAACACGAGAACCATCTTTACTTTCGCCTTGCCACCATCCTTCATCTACTTGGGTGATTCCTACAATTATTTCACCTTCTATTAACGACATTTCGTTATCCTCGACTTTAAAATAATAATAAAAATATTCAAAAAAAAATGCCTTCAAAAAAAATACATGAAATATAAAAGAAAATAATATGCAAACCAGCATCATAAGGGTAAATAACACGTGCTGAAAGGGTCTTGGATTCTGTAGTTCCAGAAATCTAAATTGACGTGTAAGGATACATAAGTTTTCATAAATAAAACTAACAGGTATCGATAATATTAAGCATTGCTTTGAAGAGATGGATACTACCTCGGCATTTTCCAATTCTTGCTGGCGAAGTAGCTCCTCCTCCTGTATATATTATATATAGATATATAATAAAATTTCATAAACGTAAAAAATGCAAAAATTAATTGTTATATTAAAAACCACATACTTCTAATCTCAAGCGCTCCTCTTCTTCCTCTTTTTGTCGCCTTAATCTTTCCTTTTCTATACGTTCTTTTTCTAATCGTTCTTGTTCTTCTCTTGC